CACACACACACACACACACACTCTCACACACACACACACACACACACACACACACACACACACACACACACACACACAGTTCCCTGTATTTAAGCACTCAACACGGAAGTGAGATTCTGTGGTTTTCCTTCCTTTCCTTCCTCACAGAGACGCTTGACGAGACGTCCCCGTGATCTTCTGCTCTGGAGACACAGCAGGACTCTCTAGACTAGTTAGTTATTGTGAGGATTGGCTTAACAAACACTAATGCAAATGTGTCTCACACACAGCCAAGCACTGTGTTTATTGTGATTAAAGTCTGTTTCAGGAGGTCAGAAAGAGAAAGAATAGAGAAGAGAAAGTGATCATATGATTTTTAAATCATATGTTTTGAAAGAAGTCTCTTCTGCTCACCAAGGCTGCATTTATTTGATCAAAAATACAGTAAAATGTGAACTATTATTGCACTTTAAAACAGCTGTTTTCTGTGTGAATATGTGTTAAACTGTAATGTATTTCTGTGATGCTCAGCTGTATTTTCAGCATCATTACTGCAGTCTTCAGTGTCACATGATCTTCAGAAATCAGTATAATATGCTGATTTGAATCTGAGGGTGCAAAAAAATCTAAATATCGAGAAAATCATCTTTAAAGTTGTTCAAATGAAGTGCTTAGCAATTCATATTACTAATAAAACATTAAGTTTTGATATATTTACGGTAGGACATTTACAAAATATCTTCATGGAACAAGATCTTTACTTAATATCCTAATGATTTTTGGCATAAAAGAGAAATGTATAATTGTGACCCATACAATGTATTGTTGGCTATTGCTACAAATATCCCCCAGCGACTTAACACTGCTTCTGTGCTGCAGGCTCACATTTCTGATTATTATCAGAGTTGAAAACAGTCGTGCTGCTGAATATGTTTGTAGAAACTGTGATACTTTTCAGGATTCACAGATGAATAGAAAGTTCAAAAGAACAGCATTTATTTGAAACAGAAATTTTTTGCTACATTGTAAATGTCTTTACTGTCACTTTTGATCAGTTGAATGCATTGTGGCTGAATAAATGTATCTTTCTCTTTCAAAATGTTTCTTTCCATGATTCTGATTCTGTTACATGCTGATATGAAGCACTGCTGTGTGTGAATGATTCTGTGTTTAAACACTTTGTGTCCTTCACGTGTGTGAACTTGCAGCAGGTCAATCCCCTCATCATCCCGCGGCCCCTGACGGGCCCCTCAACATTCAGCACAAATAAACACACATCCAGATCTTCAGGTTTCAGTCCAGACATGAAGCATCAATCACACAGGCTTTACACTAACAAAACACACACACACACACACACTCTCTCTCTCACACACACACACACACACACACATACACTCTCACACACACACACATACACACTCACACACACACACATACACACACACACACACACACACTCTCTCTCACACACACACACACACACACACACACACACACACACACTGACGATCAGAACGGATCCTGACAGTGAATAAACTCACTCCACTATCAGATTGAAATCATGTGAATTCAGATTAATCTCTCTCACCTCGTTTCTGCATGAAGGTGAAAAGGTCGTCCAGAAACTCCTTCCTTTGCGGGTCGCTATCCAGCTCATATAACTATCAGACACACACACACAAATCAACCTTATTACACAAAATCAACATCTTCATACTCAATCATGCCAGAATCAATTCAATTAACAAATTAAATAGATCAATTAAAACACATTTTACTTTTTCACTCATAAATTGCTAGTAAATTTCACAAATATTTACAAAAAAAAAAAAAAAAACCAGCAAGCATCTTCTTGAAATAAACGTGAAACTTTTAAGTAGAACTGAAATATTTTTTTTTTTGTGAAACGTACAATAATCTTTGTTTTATTTACAACCTCAAAACATAGTTTTTTTTACCGCGCAGAGTGCAGACACACAGATTGAAGTCAATTATATGATCATTTTATAAAACTGCACCTTTAAATTAAACTAATGAATTAAGTAACACTGAATTAATTGTGACATTTTGAAGTACAAAGATTGCAGTTTATAGCAGAAAATAATGTTGTTATATTTACAATTATTATTATTATATTATAAAAAATTTTTTTACAGTGCACACAAACGGATATACAAATAATGTATAACAAATAATGTTAAAAGTGGATAAACTCACCTTGGCGAAATCTCTGGACGCTTCCCCTCTTCCACGAGCAACATCCACATCATCCGGCCAGGATACACCGCCGTCCTGCACACACACACACACACACACACACACACACACACACAGCATCAGTCTGAGCTTCAGTGATTATGCTAATAGCCAGAGTCTGATTGGTGACTTACAGCTCCGCCCACAGCCACGGCTCCGCCCCCAGGGTGAACGGCTACGGACTCGGGCTCGTATCCCAGAGAGTCCAGCGTGAAGAGCTTCTTCTTGTCCTTCAGCAGCACCAGCTGCACAGTTTCTGTGAATTGTTGAGACTTTCCATAGACTTCTATTACTTTTATACTATCCTTGTGGGGACATTTGGTCCTTACAATGTAGCATAAACAAGCACACACACACACTCACTCTCACAAACACACTCTCTCTCACACACACACACACACACACACACACACTCACACACACACACACACCCACACACACTCACTCATTCACACACTTACACTGTCACACACTCACACTCTCACACACACATACACACACACATATACACTCTCACTCACACACACACACATACACCCACACACACACACACTCACACTCACACTCTCATACACACACTTACACTGTCACACACTCACACTCTCACACACACATACACACACTCTTATACACTC